GAGCTGTAGAATCTCACATAATTTTTAATTTCCTTTATTTTCTGGACTGTCATAAGCTGCTCTTCACAACCTGGAAAACCCAAACAGGTTCACCTGTGTGGTTTCAGCCCATTGATTTACCAAATCTGACAAGTCTCTTGCAAAGGTAAATTGCTCACTCTGAAAGCGGCGCGCATTTGGACATGCATGCTGAAGCGAGTACTCCAGCAGTAAATACTGCTTAACTCTGGCACTTGCTAGATGTACAAACATCATTTGCTCAAGAAGTCAGCTAATTCCTTATGATGGAGGGCCTGTCTTCTCTCTTGGCGCGGCAGGAGGGTGCCTGCGTGAGCAGACTGTAGAAGCAGGATGGGCTGGTTTAATGAATTAAGCTACTTAAGGAAATCTAAAAAGACGCACCGGTTAATATGTATTCCCCCCTTGCTTGGCGGTAACAGGCTGGCGTTTCTGATTTCCCTGGCAGAGTTCCTCGCCTAATCGGAAGTGATAAACCAAATGATTATTCATTTGCTGAGACAGGATGGAAGATTGTGGATGGTCGAAGTGAACCGCAGAGGCCCTTGAATCCATAGGGAATGGGAGGCCGGTCTGACTCCTGTCTCTTTGGAGATTATTTTCTCCTGTTGTGGCGGAGCGTGGGACCTGTGTCTGAGCGGTCAGCGGGGCAGGTCAGGGTTCTATATTGCTGAGGCAGGGTCTGGAAACCTGGGTTCTCTGGCCAGCTTCTTTTGACGTGCTGGTTGATCTCTGGGTCTTAGTCTCTCTGTATTTAAAAAGGAGGAAAAACCTTCAGTGCCTGTCTTGCAGGGCTATTTTCATTCTTTAGAGAAGGCGTTCTGTGTAAATCCCAGGTATTATTTTTAAATTCTGAAGAATGTATCTAGGACGGGCAGATGGTGTTTGCCTGTCATGGGGACTGGCGATGTGTCCACAGAAACAAGAATAGCGAGTTGAGAGTTGGAAAGGAGCTTGGACGTCATCTATTACTGCCTGATTTTACACATGGGGAAACAGGCCCAGGAAGGTGGAGTGGCTCCCCCAGATCCCAGTGGTGAATCCCATGTGCATTTTTCTTTTGACCTGCTTAAAAGAGGCTCCTGTTTATAGTTTGGCAGCTGTTAAAGATACCTAGGAATGAGCGAAGGAGGGCTAATTATTTCTTAGGAATAATCAAACTGAGACTGTTGTGTGTCAGAAGACACACAGCTGGAGTTGCTCTGGGAGCTCCTTTAACTGCTCTTAGAACCTGGTGTCTGTACCCAAAGTCTACTTTTTTGGACCTAAGTGACCACCAGCTCTTAGCCAGCCGGCCCCACTAGCCCAGGCTACTCCCTTTCTAAGTAAGCAGGTAGAGAAAAGGGACCCAGCCTTGTTTGAGTTCCTCTAGCAGTACCAGCCCTATGAGGAGAATCAGGGAGAATGCATGGACGAAAGGGTGGAGTAACAAATACTGGTACTATTTACTGGATCCCAAGTATTTGTCACCTACTTTGTTATATTTACTTTATTCCTTTATCTATTACATAAATGGATAGATATTATATCCTACTCTTCATCAGCAACCCTACCTAGGAGGTGGGGTTACCCATTTTACAAATGGAGAATTTTAGCCTAGAGAGGGTAATAACTTGTCTGAAGTCACACTGCTTCTTATAGTGATAATAGGACAGGCATCTGGTGATTGTGACTGGGGTGCCAAATCACAGCCTTGGCTGCCTCAGCCAATCTGATCTTTGTTGAGCCTCTTGCAGTCCCTCATCCAGGGACAAGGAGGCAGACAGCGTGGGCTATTCTGAGAAAGACAGCTTTGCTGTGGCTTTTCCCATCCTAACATCTCAGGGAGTTAGTATTTAAAAAATATCTGACCTTCTGTCTAGGCCTTGCTATTTTTAATTTTGGAATGTCATGGCTTAATAAGTTGGGTGGGTAAATCTGTCTTATGAGATGTGTTTATTTTTTCCCTGCACAACCCACTTCTACCCCTGCAACTGTTGCTGCCTTTCAGAAAATGAAAAGAGTCCCTAACAGACCGGATCTCTTAGATGGACATCCTTGCACTTGCTCATTCCCCCAGTGTGAGCACTTACCCCCTTTTATCCCTCATTCTTTTATAGCTGATGGAGTTTTGAAGCTAGAATATTAGTGGTAAACATTTCCATATGTCTTTCATAGATTTTTCTCAAATATTAGCATAATTTTTGTTCCTTATAAAAAATTTTGTCAATGAAACAATTTTTTTTTAAATGGAGAAAAGTACCAAGAATAACACAAAGAAAGCCTGTGTGTCTTCCACCCAGTTCTAGTTGAATTGTAGTATTTTGTCTTGCTTGCTCCAGATTGTTTTAAAGAAAGAGACCTTAGTCACACCTCGGACTCTCTGATCCCCATCACCAGAGGGTAACTACTGTCCTGATGTTGATATTTTTCTTCCCTGTACATTTTCAAAAATACTTTTATATCTGTATGTATCTATGAAAGCAGTATATTTTTCAAGCTTGATTTAAGCTTGATTTGCAACTTGCTTTTTTCACTTAGCATTTTGCTTCTTAGATTTATCTATGTTGATTCACTCCAGTAAATGAAATTGCAGCCCTGGGTAAGTATTCCATTGTGTGAATGAACCCTGATTTTTAATCCATTATTTTTTGTGTGAACGTTTAGTTTGTCTTGCAATTTTGTATTGTAATAGTGCCACAATTAATGTTCTCTTGCTGTCGTCTCCTGGACGTTTTTCTTCAGGCCTAAGGTATGTACCAGAAGAGGATGGGATGGCTCAAAGGGTGGGAGCATCTTCAGCTTCCCTAGGAGTCTCCAAATTGCTCTTTTGAGTTACTCCGCCATGTGCAGTGTGTGCTCCAAACCATTTCACCACTTGAGAATGTCACACTTCAAATTTTTGCAAGTCTGATAGGTGTGAAAGATAACTTCCTTGTTTAGTTGATTATTTTTTTATTACAAGTGAGCTTGAGTATATATTAAGTGGCTATTTGGGTTTTCTCATCAGTGTAAGTACTTGTTCATATTCTCTGTCCAGTTTGCAGTGGGGTGTCTGTGTTTTCTCAGATAGTCTTGAAAGAAAATCATAGCTGGTGATCTTCGTGGGTTATATATGTGGTAAATACTACCTCCAGTTAGTGGCTTATCTTTTACCTTTGTTTATAATACCTTTTGATAACTAGGAGTTTTACATTTTAGTGCAGTTACGTTTATCAGTCTTTATAGCCTGTGTTTTTTTGGAGTCTCATTTCAGAAATCCTTTACCGTGAGCTAATAACATATGCTTTTGGGTCTGGATGAAGCTGATTTTGCTTTTCTGGCCTGATCTTGGTTTGCTTTTGTATTTTCCATACTTGCCTTGCCTGGGTGTCTCTGTGCAGAGGTGAGCGTAGAATGTGGTATGGCTCCTGGTGACTGTAGGAATTGTTGCAGCCATCTCTAGGGAGATGGGGCCAGACTGAACTTGGGGTCAGAGCAAAATCCTTCTTCTTGACCCTGTGGCTGTTCTGAGAGGTGCTAAACTGCAGGGCTGATTGGCTCTCTCTTAAGCTGGGCTTATCTGCAAGCCTGATAAAGTTGTCTACTCTCTCATCCTTCAGCTTAGCTTCACTGCCTGATTCACACTTGCTGCTGTGGCTGATTGAAGCTGAAAAGACAGAACTGTGCGGGGAGCTGCTGCTCCAGCTTCCTACCCGGGTCGGATATCAGCAGCCAGCCCTTGGTGAGGCCACCAGTGTGCACGACAAGTGCACTCATCAAAGTTCATCTGGAAGTTCTTCACTTCTGTTCCTTTCCTCTAAGGAACTCAGACCTGTTCAGCAGACCCAATCTCATTTATCCATTGTGTTCTCCATGGAAGGATAAATGGGTTCAAGTAGGGTTAGATAAAGTTGCAGAACTTGAGAGTATCAGAACTGGAAGCGTCCTTAGAAGTCATCACTCATTCGGTCAACAAGCTTTTACTGAGTGTCTGCTGGGTGCCTGGCGCTTGCCCATTGCCGAGGACACAGCCGGGAATAGGACATCCAAGGTCCCTGCCTTTGTTGTGGTGCGAGCGACCACTAAACCACAGGGACCATTTCAGCTTGAAGGGTGTGACAGGATAGAGAGGAAGTGCCTTTGGATCAGCTCCTTTGCCACTTTGTTGTTTTAGATAGACCTATTAAGTCTTGTAGGTCAGGAGCCAGCAAACTGTGGCCCAAGGGCCAGAGCCAGCCAACTACAGTCCCCAACCCTAAGAATGGTTTAACATTTTTAAGTGGGTGAAAAAAAAAATTACACAATTGCAATAGATTTTAGTGTTTGGAAACACTAACTTTGAATCTCAGTCAAGTGAAATGTTAACCTATACCCTCCCTTCCTAAAAGAATTCCGTTCTTCTCATTAGTAGATCTGTATTACAGAAACTTGTTCTCAGGTATTACAATAATATTTTGAATATTGTCAATAAAAACTTTGTGGAATATTGTTTTCTCTCATGTTATATAAGTACGTACCTATTATAATATCTTTAATTTGGCTTCCTGACCTGCACAACCTAAAATATTTACTATCTGGCCTAAAAAGTTTACAGACCCTGGTTCTAGCTGTGTGACCTTGGGAAAGTTACTTCCTTAGTCTTGGCTTGCTCATCTGTAAAGTGGGCATGGCACCTGTCTCATAAGCCTGTTGTGAAGGAACATAAAGAGAATGATGTTTGCCATCCCTATAGCTTCAGTAGCTGTTAGATCTTCCCTAGAGAAAAGTCACTAGGAATGGATTTATGAGGATGTGGTAAAGGGAGCATTAGCAGGGATGGGGACCAGGGTGGGGTGGGTCCCAGTGCTCGCTTGGAGGGTCACCATCATGAGGAACCACAGCTCCCAGGGTTGCCGTCCAGCCCCCTGAGGTTTGGACCTTGAACCTTGCAAGGGCTGCTTCCTGACAGCTCTGCAAATCCCCATGACATTAATGCCGCTCCGACATAATTTTCCTCGTGAAATGCAATGAAGCATAACTAAAAAATGTGAGTAACAGCTTCGGGCCCTTAATGAGGCTATAAATACAGGATGGAAATAATTTATAAAGCTAGCTTCTAAAGAACTGTCCTTTTCCTAGACCTCTTCACTTTCTCTTTGCTTGTCTCATTAATACTAGCCATTGGCTCTCTTTGCTAACTCATTTTAAGAAAGAAACAAGGCATTTATCATTTTGTAATGGTTGCTGCTTCTCATTTCATGGGAGAGGGAAACAAGAAAGCTATATGAACTGCAGATACTGGGTGGACGGCTTGGCTCACTCACTGTCTAGGTGACTTGCTCCATCCAGCAGCAAAATTACCTGGTCTTCCTTCAGGGTCAGTGTAAATATGCTATGCTGTATGTGTAAAAATGAAATCTGTGAATGCCAAGGGTCAGCAGTCTTGAGTCATTTCATGCCTTCTTACCAGCTTCCCTGGGCTGTGTCTTCCTTGAACAGATGGGCAAACAGAGGCTGGGGCTACTGGAATGAGCTCACAGGGCAAAGGGGCGTGCAGAGCCTGGACAGAGCTGGAGACCTGGCTATGCTTGGGGACTTGGAGTCAGAGGCACATCCTCGCTCCAGGGTCACCCATCCATGCACAACTGCTCCCTGCTTCATGACAGCCAAAAGGCTCCCTGTAGCAAAGCTCCAGTAGGAAGCAGTTTGATGAGAACCAAATGGCTCTGGGAAGAGCTCAGGACAGATGTCTCTGGTTCTGTCTGACACCAAAGACGATGCCACCATCATCAGGAGCAGTTTGGAGCCTGGAATCCAAGGGACTTTGGGGACTTTTCCAGGGATGTTACAAACCAGTCATCACAGGCCAGCTCACTGGGTGTTGTGAGTGTGCCCATGCATGGAATGAATGTATGTGTGAGTTTGAAGAAGTGAGTCAAAGGGAAAACAGAAGGGTGTTTGCAGTGGCCTTGTAACACTGTTTGTTGGTACCAGGCTGTGGGAAGAGGTGTGTCAATCATCCCCTGGGGAGGTCTTAGGGGAGAGCTGTTTGAGATCCATGCAATGGAACGCTGAGCCATGCATGTGTCTGTACGTGTTTGTGTGTCTTGCTTTGTTGTTCGTTGAACCTGCAGACCAGACTGCTGGGAAGCAGAGGGTAAAAATGAAGGCAACGGGGCAGAAAGCTGAACACAGGGCCTCTTGGTAATTTGCAGATGTCCACTGTATTGCATCATGACAAGGGTGTCCCTGGGGGCAGAAGACCAGCAGAGGGGGAGCAGAGGATGCGTAGGGCCCCAGCTGGGAGAACAGAGCTCCCATTTCTCAGCTGGAAAGTTCAACATGACTAACTACATGTTCCCAAAGGAGAGTTGGGGTAGAATGCAGCAGCTGTCTTGGTCTCTTCAGTTTCCCTGGCTTTGGCCCCCTCATTGAATATGAATTTGTGGGTGCCTGAAACTTTGGAAGAAACTGCTACAGGCTGTTTGCCTTTGCCCAGTGCAAGAAGACTTGGGATTTTTTTTCTCTCTTGGTACAGATGGTGTAGTTATTTTAAGTAAGTGACGTGCTGCAGTGAAAATGGGCAACTCTTCTTCATTTTTCAGCTTACTGAAAAAAAGAAAAGGGAGGAGGAGAAGCCCCACTAGCCAACTTCGTGCTAATGCTTGTCTTTTTTGGATTCTAAATGTGTCCCAAGACACCGAGATGGGATAAATATTTCAGCCACTAGAAAGTCCTGCTGTCGGGCTGAAAAGATTTCTAACCTCTTTTGAAGTAGGCAGGGTGGTAATTTACTTGCACAAATCCAGACACCCCTATGTCCTTTATTTTTGACTGTGTATGTACAGATCCCACTCACCTTCTAGGGGGTGGGGTGGATGGAACTTGCCAACGAAGATTATGAGGGATGGGGATAAGTCAGTAGCTGAGCACTTGTTTTTCTTCTTAGAGCAGCCACAGATATTTATTGGGAGGCTTCTGAGTGCCGGGTGCCAAGGGTGCAGAGCTGAGGGAACCAGGCCCCTGCCTTTAGGGAGTGTGTGGTCCAGTAGGGAGATGGTACAGAGGCCCCAGAAAGCACAAGCTGGGGTAAAGGAGAATGTAAAGTTAAAGGAGAATACAGGCACTATCAGAGTGAGAAGCTGGGGGACCAGCCTTAGGCTGGGTGTCTACAAAGAGGTCTCCAGGTCAGTGATAGAAAGCTGACGTCTGAAGGGGTATCAGCCAGAGATGTGTGAGTTTGCTGGGGCGGTCATATCAAAGTACCGCAGACTGGGTGGCTTCAACAACACAAAGGTATTTTCTCACAGTTCTGAATGCGAGGAGTCTGATATCAAGGTGTTGGCAGGGCTGGCTGCTCGTGAGGCCCCTGTCCTTGGTGTGTAGATGGCTGTCTCCTCGCTGTGTGCTCCGTGACCATCCCTTTGTGCCCTCACATCTCCTCGTATAAGTGCACTGGTCATATTGGCCCACCTAGATGATCTCATTTTACCTGAATTATTTCTTCAAAGACCCTGTCTCCAAATACAGTCACATTCTGAGGTGTTGGGGGTTAGGACCTCAGCCTGTGAATTTGAGGGGACACAATTCAACCCATAGCACCAGGTGAAAGGTGGGTGGGAGAATTGGGGTCACTGAATAGTGGCGTGTGGAGTCCTCGCTGCACAGAGGACCTTGGTTTTCCAGGAAATGGTTGGAAATGAGGCTGTAGAGGTCGCTGCCAGGGCTGGGTCATACTGGGCCTTGTAAACTATGGCAGGGGTTTTAGATTTATTGTACAGACACTGAGAAGCTATCAGCAGCATTTTAAAACCTCACCCTGCTCAGAGGGAAGGAACCTGGGAGGTGTGTGCGGGAAGTGCAGTTGGCTGGTTGGTTTAAGCCAGGATTTCCCAGCCTCAGCACTATTGACATTTGGGCTGGGCGATCCTTTACTGTGAGGGGCTGCCCTGTGCATTGAAGATGTGCAGAGCAGTCCTGGTCTTTCCTCTTTCAATGTCACAACCCCAAATGTCCCCAGACACTGCCATATGTCCCCCTAGGGGCAAAATCCCCTGTTGAGAACCACTGGTTTGAAGGGGACAAGAGGTCAAGGCTTCTCGGGTTGGATGATGGCCATGCACGTTGGATGGGCTTCAGGAGGATTTTTGAAGACTGAGTCAACAGGATTTAATCTCTCTTTGCCATGGTTTCTCCTTGTGCTTCTGAGTTCGATGATACTGTCATTTTCCTAAAGCAATAGGCTCTGTGCCCCCGGAATGCATGATGGAGTTGCTCAGAAGCAACTCCAATCACAAAGAATGTTCCTCTGTGTTACAGTCACCAGGCCCTGGGGATCCCTGGTCCCGCTGGTAAAAGCGCTTTGAGCCCTGTGGCTGGCAGGACCACCTGGGTATAACAGATGTGGTATTTAGTCTGTGTATTGCACCCTTTCATTTGTCAAGTCCCTGTGCTGCCAGCCTATTGACTCTCAGAGCAAGCACTTTGGAATCTAATCGGGCCAATTTTCTGGCTCCGGAAATCTGTTTATCAGAACAAGATTTCATGGTTGCAGTGACTTTTCCACAGGGCTTACCTTCGAGAAGCTAGCTCTACAAAAGCAAGTGTAAGTGATTTCCAAACAAAACAGAATGGCAGTTACATTCTGGAGCCTTGAAGAGCTCCCTGCTTGCTGCTGGAGCTCAGAACAGTTGTTAGGAAACAGCTGGAACATGTGGGTTAGCTAAGTTGTGCATTCCGTGTCTGGCTGGAATCCAGCAACTGGCTGTCCTTCTAGGCTTTTCTCCTGTGCATCTTGAGCACTCGCCTAGAGATGGTGAATCAATTTCATGTTCTCAGGGTTGGTGGTGGCTTTCTGGAGTCCAGTCTCAAGAGGGATCCTAATACTGAGTGTGGGCTCTGTGGCCAAGTGCCACAATTAGTGATGTCTGACTTGGTAGTAGAATAGGGGAAGTAGGGGCACAATATGTCTGCAATTCTCAACAATCAGAGCTGCGTGGTTTTTTGTTCCATACCATTCAGGGCCCTGGGCTGAGCCTTCTTGCATGTGCCTTCTCTGTCGTTCCTAGGCCTAAGGACCCTTAGGTTCCATCCCAGTATCTATCAACATCTACAGCAAATGCCACCTCTTTCCCGATGCCTTTCTGTAATGCTGGAAATTTCAACTTTATCTTACAAACACTGGGGAGCCATTCAGCAGCTTTTTAAAGTAAGGGAGTAGCATGATCAATTTTTTCTTTAAAGAGAAAGGCCACTCTGACCAGTGAGGAAGACATGGGGAGTAGGGAGGCCACCTTGGGAGGTTGTGACAATAATCCTGGAAAGAGATGGTGGTGACTTGGGCTGGAGTCACAGCTGTGGCCATGCAGGACTTGGCAACTGGCCATCTGTAGGGGGTGCTGCAGTGAGGAGGGGCAGGGAGATTTTTAGGGTCGTGGTGCAGGTGGCTGGGGCAGGGTGAGGCCCCAGGCTGTAACTGCTCTTCTAGAATTCTTCAGTGAACTGTGGAACGTCATTTGCAGTAGAGAGACCTGGTGTACGCTATGAATTCAGCTCAGCGGGGCTGATGGGGCTTCTGGCCTGAGGCCATGGCCATTCCAGTTTGTGGTTGCCCACTTGTTCCAGCTTAAAATAGCTTTAGTATCTCCCCAGTAGTACCATAGCCACACAACAGAGTGAGAGCTCATTTCTGCTTGGAGCAGTCAGGGAACACTTCAGAAAGGAGGGAGAGGAACATAGAGGTTGTGTGCGAAAGGGTAGATAGGGATTTACTAGGAGACCCTGCGGTCCAGGGGCATGCAGGTAAAAATAACAGCACATGTTAAGAAGATGTGCTGTCAGGGATCTGCAATGAGATGCCTCCTTTTGGCAAAGCTCGTGAAAGTGGATAACGGGTCCTGCTCTCCACCTGCCACCCCCGGGCAGGCCAGGACACCTCTTTGTACATGACAATGAAAGTGTGTTGGTATCCTGTGTGCCTTTCCGGCCTGAAGGAAAGAGCCCCAGCTTTCCTGTCTGCTTCTTTAGGTTCTGGCACAAGGGTCTGGTCATAAATGTTCAATAACTGCTTACTGATAATGGAGGAGGGAGCTCTAGAAGGACTGGTCTTTTTTTTCTCCTTTTCCCCCAAGCCTGTTTTATTTCCTCTGGCTCCTTATCTCCCTGCCACTGACCACACTGGCTCAGACTGATCAGATTGATCAGATTCTGGCTCCCTTGAAAAATCTGCCCCCGGGGTGCATTGATGGATTAATTTGGCCCACTCTGCCCCCACCATCTTGGCCTTGCCTGTTTGCTTTGCAGCCTAAGAGTTGGCACTTTTGAGCAAGGGCCTTGGCCTATCGTGACTCTGCTCAGTGGAGCTGAATCTAAACCAGGGGGCTAATTCTGTACCTCTAAGGAATTCTTGGCAAGCAATCAGCAGCCTTGGCACACTTTTGGGAGTTAGAAGGCCTGAGTTTTAAATTTCAGTTTGACCTTTCCTCCTCATGTGACCTCAGACAGGTTGATTTTGTTATTTCCCAAAGTGAAATTATCTCCCAGTTTTCCTGCTGACCTGGCCCAAGTTCACGGTTATGTGATTGCATGTGCACAGGGCATGAGGCTGGACGGAGGCATGGGAGTCCAGTGCTCACTCCTGTGTTGTGACCTTCATTTTTAGCCCCTGCTGATGGCTAGAAAAGAATGTTTGGGTTTTGTAGCTGAGCTTTTTGGTGAGAAAGAAGAACAGTCAGTGAGCAGCAGTTGTGTGCCAAAGCGCCTGCCAGAGGCTTTCCTGTACCTCTCCATTTAGTCTTCTCAGAATCCCAGGGCAGGGCAGTGGGGTTTGGAGCAGACTCCCAGCTCATTTCACAGATGAGGAAGTTGAGGCCCTGAGAGGTGAAGTCACCTGGTCACCTTCCGGAAATCTCCCATGCATAACCCATGCCAAACAAGAGCCCATCCAGTGTGGGGGCTCAGGTCCTCGTCACCCTTGCTGCGCTGCTCATCTCCCTGTCCCTCTCTCTGACAGAGAGCCAGCTGCTGCCTGGGAACAACTTCACCCACGAGTGCAACATCCCAGGCAACTTCATGTGCAGCAATGGGCGGTGCATCCCCGGTGCCTGGCAGTGCGACGGGCTGCCCGACTGCTTCGACAAGAGCGACGAGAAGGAATGCCGTGAGTGGCCGGCGCTCTGCTTGGGAGGTGATGGGGGAAATCCAGGGCCGGCAGGTCCTGACGTGGCTCAGAGCCTGTACCCTGTGCTTGCTGCAGGCTGGTGGGTTTCTCTCCACTTGGTAGCTGTCTCAGGGCAGCATGGTCTGCGCACACAGGAGAACTGTGTGTTCTGGCTCTGAATTGTCTCTCTGGAAGCCAGCTGTCTCAGGGCAGCATGGTCTGCGTAGAAACAGGGGTCTTGGTGGGGATGGAGCCTCAGCTTTGGGGGAGCAGAGGGCCCTTCCACCAGGATCTACGTGCCCCCACCCCCCATCATGGGGCACTGTCACTGCTCTCACTTTACATGAGCCTCCCAGAGGTCATGTAGCTTCAGAGTCTCCCAGGCAGCAAGCAGCAGGTCTGGATTTGAACCCAGAGCTGCCTGACTCGAGGCCTAGGCTGGTCTTTCCCATCTCATACACTGTGGAGTGTTTTTGCTGACTAAGTAAGGGATAGCATTCTATCAAGTATCTAGCAGGCATTTGGGACTGACTAGGTAGTAATCTGCTTCCTTATGCCCTTTGTCTGCTGGTATGACTGGGCACCACCAGGGACATGGCGCTTGGGGTTCCTTCTGTTCCTCCCCAGCACACCTCCTTCTTCATGCCCCTAGAGTAGGCATGAGATGTGCGTAGGGGATAATCTGTGAGAAAGGAGGCATATGAAAGGAGGGGCATCCGGGGCAACAAATGATTGTGCCCCTTGCCCCATATGGGCACGTTCTTTTCCCTCACCAGAGTTTGGCACGGCTGAGTGAACTTGGCCACCTCACGCTGGCAGGAGGGAAGCACACCTGTGGTGGGCTGCAGCCAGGCCTGCCTAGAGGATGACGGCCTTGGGACCACACAACTGGACAATGGTTCTTGGCTCTTTGTGGCCTTTGGGCACCCCGCCACAGGGCCTCTCTGACAGGAGAACTGTGTGTTCTGGCTCTGAATCTGCTCTCTCTCTGGAAGCCAGCTGAGGAAGTGGCTGAGGATAGAATGATAATTTGAACTTTTAACATAGCCGTTACCAAGGTTTGAGGCCCAGTCTGTTGACGCACAGGAAGGAGCCCTGGGTTTGGAGCCCAGCTCCAGAGCCAGCCACCCCTCCCTCGTGATGTGCTCCATGGGCAAGCCGCGCACTGTGAAGCTGGCCTCCTACCTGTCCAAGGGATGCAATATCCCTGTTTGCCTGCCCCAATTCTTAGAGAGGTTTTGGGAGACGGGGGTGTGGATTAGGAATAAGATTTTTTGTGGGGAATATTTAATTTGTTTGTTGCATGTGAATTTCTTCTGAATAGACCAGTATACATAATGCCTTTGTATTTTTGCAGAATTTTTTGAGAAAGTATTGGGTCTATTTCAGTTTTTTTCTGTTTCTAGCATGGCTTCAAAATTGCTAGAAATTTAACACTTGTGTTTACAAATGATACTGTATGTGCAAACTCTATAATATGCCCAGTTTTGAGCATAATTAAACACTGTATGAATATGTGGAGTGATATTTTTGGAATATGGTGTGTATTTGAACTCCAGTAAATGCAGCTTATCTTCAGCTGGCTGAGTGATAAGTTCGTGAAAGAGTGCAGGATTGGGAGTTGAGACCAAAGTTTTATTCCCAGCTTTGTCAGTAGCAGCCGTGTAACATGAGGGTATTCTGTGACATTTTGTGTCCTCTGTCAATCCAGTTCCAAGATTTCAGAATTCATGCTCAGACTAGAGAGATAGTGGAAAGAGGGTAAAAAAAAGAGATGGTGTGGGCAGCCGCCTGGCGCTCTATATGTAGTTTGGTTTGGAGCAGGCTCTTCTTGGCCATTCTCAGTCATTTTTTTCTCCTCATTTCCTATCTTTAACCCCCAAATACAGTAGAGACTTAATTGGCATTTATTTAATCTTTTGATCAAAACATAATTAAAAAAACTATATACACACAAGCACATGCGTCAAAAAATAACTACACTTTGTTGCCATTTTTTTTGTCTTTAAATTGTATAAACAGAAGAACACTGGAATGCGTAGACAATAGAGGGAAGGAAAAGAAGTTCTTTTTCTAAAATAACTTCTACTTGCATTTCAAATTTGTTACATATTCTCTTCCAGTCTAGGAGTTGAGGGTATGAGCAGCAGAGAATGACTGTGTTCAAATTCCTGACCTTCCTTCACCCCTTTCCCTCCATGCTATGTGATCTTAGGAGAGTTACCGCAATGTTCTGAACTGTAGCCATTGGGAGGATTCAATGAGAATTCCTTAATCTCCTACTGCCTCAATTTCCTACCCTCTAAAATGATAATAGTAAGGCTTCTAATAAGCATTGTTGCGAAGTTCTAATGCACGTTAAGCACACAGCGTGATGCCTGGGGTATAGTAGGTGACTTGTAAACGTTATCTGTTCTTGGTCAGTTTGCACAAACTGTTTTAATATGGCCCCTGTCATAAGGACGTGTGATTGAGTTCTACGTCCTGCTAGAGGCCCCTTGGCGCATTACCATATTCAGCATTCATAATTGTTGTTTGATGAGGTTGCCTATTATTGCCTATTGATGCCTATAGTATATCAAGTAAATGCACTATAACTGAAGCATTCCTCATAGTTGGGTGTTTAAGTCTCTGTGCTTTTTTACTTGTGCTGATTGAAATATTTAGGATAAGTTAAGAGGCTTATCCATACCCAGAGGACAGAAATT